TAAGTAAGTAATATGTTTAGAAGCTGCTGATCCACATAATTTCCACCACCGTCACATCCACCTGCAATATCACTATCATTGTCATTAATACAAGAGTCATTATCATAACCATTGTAATCTAGCACTGCCAACCTCCACTACCATTGCCACCCTCTCTACTATTACCCCACCAAGAGCAACATATCCTTGTCCATCATCATTTCCATGTCCATTATTTCAAGTACCACCAACAACTTCAAAAAAACTAAGTAAAATATTGGTAATTGCAGAAATGTGTGGGCAAGGAATTCTGGCCAAGAAATGTGATTATTGTTTTATTCATATGTTAATATAGAATCTTCAGTTTTTTCCAAGACTTTTTCTAATGGCATAGATTACATTAAAATATTAAATAAAATGAAGAACTAGAAAAATTAGAACTTCATGTTCAGAACTGTCATATGACTAATACAAATCCTTAGGTGTTAAGATAAAACCATGAAGTTATCTACTTTAAAGGATAATAAAACTAAGAGAAGCAAATGTTTAGCTCAATGGTAGATGACATCTAGAAAGGACTTATATGTGTGTATTCATGTCTGTGCACACATGTGTTCCATGTCTCTGGTCTTGAAGGTTCACACTTGAGAAAGTGCGCTGTGCTCCCTGTTCATCTGTGACTGCTCTTCATGGAGCTTCTGTGGAAGGAAGTCCCTTCAGTGTCTGAGCCTGGTATGAGATTCAGCTGCTCTAACTCTCATGTCAGTGCTTCAGGAATTAGTAGCTGCTATTTTGAAAATATTGTAATTAGCATATATCATTGTAAAAAGTGAATGGTTTCATCATTTCATTAAATATTTAAATATTTGCAAAGAGATTATATTTGCATTCATCTATTGCATCAACAGAGGAAAGCAAACATATGATATTTGTCTTGCAGACTTTCGCATGTCCTTCAAAATGATGCCTTCTTCAAAATGTCATCTTTATTAATTCTTGGAAAAATTTATCCAATGCATTTCAATGATACTCACTCAGAGGTTTAGCAACATCTGTCATTCACCCACTGTGCCTCTCCTTCTATTCCCACCCACATTGGCACCCAACTTAGATATATTTTATATTGCTTCTCCTTAATGACATCATTGCATTTTGTGTAGTCCAGCTACTCCAGACAATGGGGCCTACCCTGGAGTGTGGCCAACATAGCAAGGGTAACGTGGAAGAAAACTGCCATTCCTTCTCTCAGAAGCTATCAGCTGCTAATAGCACCTCAGCTAGTGGGATTTCATACTCCCCTTCTCTTTCATGATGAGTTTTGGTCTGGTTTGAGTTTTCACATGACTGTGCATGCTGTGTCAATTGTTATGAGTTCAAATGTTTAATGGCCTGATTATGTGAAGAAAAGTTTCTACCTGTAGTTCTTATACCCCTTCTGCTAACTCCCCTGTGAGGTTAAGGCTGAGAAAACACTAGTTTCTTACTCACAGCACCATTTATCAGTTGTAGGTCTCTCTGTTAATTATATAGAGTGAGGAGAAGCTTCTCAGCTAAGAAATGAGAGATATATTGGTATGAGAACAGGAATAAGTCATTAGGAATTGCTATGTTGCTTTATTATCAGAATAATAGTACTAGTTTTCTTATCCACCAGGACCTGTCCTATCTAGTTACATGTTCTCCCCCCCCCTTTACCAGTGCTAGGGATGCACATTGTCTCACAGAGAAGGACATTAAATCTAATCAGAATGTGGTCAGTTGCTCCCTTATATATACACCACTATCACACTAGAGGGCATATCTTATCTGAACTTGTTGAGGTCAGTGAGCACTTTCCTCCTTCAGCAGTGTACATCACCTTCCACTATCACGAGGGCTGGCCCATAGGATTGGAGAGTCTAGGTAAACACCCCCTAGATATCTCCATGTTCTATGACTTAAGGATTGGTGTCTACAGAAATAGGGTCTTACAATTAAGTTTTGAAGGGTAGACAAGTTATTGTAAGCTAGTGGAGTCAGACTATTGCCTTCACTGTCTAGAAACTAAAAAGAGGGAAGGTGTTACTGCTACTGAGGTTTGCACTTCCTAGTATGAGTTATCTACTTGTGGTATTGCACCCCTTTCAGTTGTAAGGTAACTGCATTAAATATTTTATATATGTATATATTCTAGCAAGCTTTTAGAGTAGTAGATTTCCATATGGCTTTTTCAAAAGCTCTTTTATGTTAATCATCTCTCTATGCCCTGATCTACCCTGCTCTCTCATATCATCACAATGTAACTCACTCGTTTGCATTATTTCCCTTTATCCCTTTGTACCTTCTTAGTGGGCTATATTCATAGGAAGAACCTCTGGTTAAAAGACCCTGTGTTATACTGACGTCCCAGGTCACTGTGCAATTTTGTAATTGTGATGACTGAAGCCAGACATTGCCTAAGATCATCCTTTACATGTGATATGCAAACATGGAGAGTACTGAGTCTCCTACTGACCTGGCCCTATGGTATGTGTCCTAACCTTTATGAGCCATCCACTGGCGGTGTGTTTCTTGGCACCTGGCCTCAGAACTGACGACTCTTTCACTTCAGGGACATGGAAAAGGGCATACTTAGCTAAACTGTTCCTCACTCTGGAAGGCACTGACAGTCACAGGAAGTTGACATGCCTTACTGAGTTTGATTCAGTACCTGTGTGCTTCTCAGGGCAGTGTTGGTACTAATTAATGGCTCTGTTTCATGTTCCTCATTCTATTCTTCTCCAATCACAAAGAACTTTCCAGGACTAAAGAAATTATTTTTTCTCTTTTATTAACTGCTTCCCCTTCCTTCTTAGGAGGTTCTATGTTCTTGAATTCTGGGTTTGTTTTATACCCTAGTCAACTTCCTGGGACATCTCAAGTAAAAGTGATTGCAGCAGTTACTGTCATCACTGAGACTGCTCAGTATTTTAGAACTTAAACTTCAGACTGCCCTTCTTGAAGATCATGTTTCTGTAAGATCACTTACTATTTCCTTTGAAGGAAAGATGTTTTCTTACAATAAATGTGAAGAAAAGTTTGGTTTTCTAGGTTAATAAAACAAAAGGATGACATGAAAGGGAAATTCAGGAAGTCTGGAGCAGGAGTTGAAATTGAGGAAAAGTTCTGATATTTCATAAACTTGAGATTCTTCCTCTGTGGGGATCATGTCTTGTAAGAATTGTTGCATAGTGTCTTTCAGATTCTAAGATTTAGCCTTGATACCTCTTCCTGTGTGCCAATACACAGAGTGCTCAGAGCATTGCCTACTCTCAAATTGCTCTGAGCCTTGACTTTCTCCAGTGTTTCTAGAGCCTTGGACTCCCTCAAATGTTCAAAAGTCATTTAAGTCAATCAATCACTAAACAAACACCCAATTTTTAGTTCCTTCTGTTAGCTTTCAAGAGGCAATGAATTAGTAATACACATTAGAAAATGGGTAAATGATAAATGTAGCTATGTGGCAGATAAAAATGCAAGTTTGCTGCTTTTTTGTCTCTGTCTTCTGTCTGTCTGTGTGCATGTACAAGAATGAGCACCTGTGTATGAAGGAGTCAGTATTCTATGTGTTTTGGGAGATCCCAGAGCTCCAGTTGGTGTGTACCACAGCCAAGGTGGACTCAACAGCTCTTCACACAAGGGAAGTGTGGGAGATTATGAGTCTTCATGCTGACCACCTAAGGAAGAACATGCTTAGGGCAGGTGTTAGGGTAGGTATGATTTTATTTCCTTTATCATCATGATAAGCAGCATTATGAAAATTATTAGAAGCGATTCTAAGCATATACACCAAATATGTTGTTGGAGATGGCAGTTCTGACGAGGGTGAGGATAAGGTTCAAGCCCAGCAACTTCTTCTATGAAGAGCATGTTTGACTTTCTATGATTACAGAAAAGACTTAAACCTATGCAGCAGACCACACCTGTCTCCAAATCAGGCTTGTCAAAGATAAAGCTGAAAGCACAGCTGATGTCCCCTTTAATTCTGTCCTTCTTGCAGCACACAGGCAAATTTTGCCTAAAAGCAGGAATTTAAATGGGCCAGTGCACCAAAGAGTATCAGTGAGATTAGACAGAACAAACAGGACACAAGAGAGATGTAACAGGGAAAAGAAATACTAACTTCAATCAAGAAAGACAACTTAGACAGCCAGGGAAGTCTGGCTGAAACAAAAGAGACAGGAGGGCCCACTGAGTCACAGCACTCTACAGTGATGACGTCCAGACACAGGATATTTCACATGATGTAGAGTCCCAGTCAAGCAAGTCATGCATGGATTTGCATTTTGTTTGGGAAATTCTTGGACCTGCCCCCTGTCAGTCAGCTCTACTCCCTCTGGGCAGGGCAGTCAGTGCTATAAAGAGGTCCTTGGCTGCATGACTGCAGACTCCTGGTACTCAAGTCCTAGACTACTTTGGAGACCTGGTGAGTGTTATTTCTTGAGTTGGTCTGTCTTTATGGTCTGCTTATGTGCTGCAGTCAAGTTTTAGGGTCGGTGTTGATGGTTTTTCCTTTTCTTTAGTATGCAATTGAACACGGTGTATTTCTCTTTCATGCATACATTTGGTGTCTTTTCATAGTCCTATGACGTAGCAGGTATTAGGACCTGGTTTTCCTGAGCTGTCTGTCCTTTACTCTGCCACCCAGACAACTTGCTGGGATGTCACAGTCACAGGAGAGTCAGGGATTTGTTCTGAGGATGCTCAGGGCATCAGTCCTTGAGACTTCCTGTATTGAAGGTGTTTCTCTGTGAAACACTTTTGTTTCCTTGGAACAAGTATTTTCTCCTGGAAAAAAGCATCAAACAATGGGGAGTTCCCAAGGCTGCTACCACAGATTGCTGATAGGAAAGGGGAAAGCGAGGATATCCTAAAACTTGGGGAGATGGGAATGTGTGGGGAGGAAATTTATGTGACGCTTCATGTCTCTATCTCTCTTCTCTGAGATGATCATCCCCTAACACTGTCATGTAATGTCTTTCAGATACTGAGCCTTCAGCACGATGTCTTACCAAGAGCAGCAGTGCAAACAGCCCTGCCAGCCTCCTCCTGTGTGCCCACCCACAAAGTGCCCTGAGCCTTGTCCTCCTCCAAAGTGCCCAGAACCTTGTCCTCCCCCAAAGTGTCCTGAGCCTTGTCCTCCCTCAAAGTGTCCTGAGCCCTGTCCTCCTCCTAAGTGCCCCGAGCCTTGCCCCCCTCAGCCATGCCAGCAGAAATGCCCTCCTGTGCAACCTCCTTCACCCTGCCAGCAGAAGTGCCCACCCACGAGCAAGTGAGTGCTTTAGCAGTCATCAGGATCAAGAGAAGAGGTGGGAATTTGTCTTCCATACTTCCACAGAAACACTTCCAACGCACTTCAAAGCCTGCCATGGATGCAAGAGAATCTTGTCCACCCTTCTCTTTCCATGTTTCTGCGAAGGCTTTCCCCTGAAGTTGTTCTGTTTCTGCTGTCAAGGGGTGGATGAGAATGGTCCTTCCTCACTGGTTCAGTGTCCCAGATGCTCAGTGATGAAAGCATCTTCCCACCCTGTGCACTCAGAGGATGTTTCCAGAACTCCCAGTCTCCTTGCTTGTGTGGTTGTCACTGTGGCTTCATTTCCTGAATAAAGTACAATATGGCTGTTTGTACTCATTAGTTTTTTTTCTTCTAAAACTGACTCTATGACCTTACTGATATGCTCCTGTTATATTGCTTTTATTCATTATTGCCCGGGTCATTCCATTGTAATCATATGTTGACTGTATTTTGGACCATAACATAGATTTCTTAGTGTTGGTTTGCTTGAGAGACAGAGTTTCCTTTTGTACAACTACAAGCTGTTAGCACATGCTATTTTAAGGCGATTATGCGGTATTCAGATATGCATGTGGCACTTAGTACAAATATCCCCCCACTTCCCCTTTGTCATCAACCTACCCTTATTATCTTTTCCTTCTTCAATATTTGAAACATTGATGCCAACATTGTATTTAAGACTGGATTTATTTCCCTGAACATGATGATATGCAGTTTCATTTATTTACCTGCAGAGGACATGATATGGGTTTACATGACTGATCATTACTCCAGTCCACCTAAGTGTCACTTTTTTTTTAAATCCTTTCATCCATTTGTGAGTAGCTGTACTGACTTAATTACCTTGCATGTTAGGAGTAGTTCTGAAATATAGACGGATATGCAGGCATCTCTAATGTATGCCATATGTGACTTCTTTTATTGAAAACCCAAGTGATGGTGCTGTATCATATGATCATTCTGCTTTAGTGTTATTTCTTCGGAGGAAACTCCATACTGATTTCCATATGTGATGGGTTAATCTCTTATGTCACACTCTGAGAGTTTGTGTTCTTTTTTCTCCACTCCTCTGCCAGGACTTGTTATTATTTTGATGGTCCTCATCCTTACATGGTTGACTGGTATTCTGGTGTAGGTGTGAACAACTTTTTGTTAATGTTACTTGTGGAAACTGCTGTTTGCCAAAGTGTTACCTTTGGTTACAATTGAGCTATTTCATGCCATTTGATTGACAAATATGAGGCACCTAAATAGCACTAAGGAAGTGATAATTTAGAAGCTACTGATGCACATTTTTTCACAGCCCTCACTATAATCCCCACTTCCATCTGCAACATCCACATCCCCAGAACCAATATGACCATCATTATTACAACCACTACAAGTTATCAACCAGCTACCTCTGCCTACCTTCACTATCACTGCCAGCTTGTCTATTATTACCCAACTAAGAGACCATGTTCATCACCATTTTAATGTCTATTATCTCCAGTATCACCATTATATAAAGTAATAAAATATTGATAACTTTAGAAGCATGTGGGAAGTATATTCCAGCCTAAGAATTTGAGACCTGCATGGATCCTCCTATTGCTTCTTATTATTTCTTTCACTTGGTAATATAGAATCTTGACTTTTCAGGGACTTTTTTTAATGGCTTAGATTATATCCTAGTAAATATTAAATCAAATGAAGAAATAGAAAAATGTTAGAACTTCATGTTCAGGCCTGTCATTTGATTCATAAAATCCCATAGAAAATTAGGATAAAAATATGCAGGTTGAACTCAGCGTCATTTGACCTTAAAAGATTATAAAACTAAGAGAACCAAACGTGAAACTCAATTATGGATGACTCCTAAAAGGACAATTGTGTGTGTATCTGTGTCTGTGCACTCATCTTCCTTGTCTCTGCATGTCTGTGCACACATCTTCCTTGTCTCTGGTCTTGAAGGTTCACACTTGAGAACGTGCACTGTGCGCCCTGTTCATCTGTGACTGCTTGTCATGGAGCTTCTGTGGAAGGAACGCCCCTTTGGTATCTCAGCCTTGCCTGAGTTTCAGCTGGTGCCAAATTGGCATTGTAAGAAGCCTCTGTTTTAAAAATAATATAATTCACCTATACATTGTAAAAGGTGAAAGATTTCATCATGCTATTAAATAAATGTTGATAGAGAGTCATCACCCTCATCCACTGTACTCACATAGGAGAACAAACACTTAATAATTTTTTTATATTTTAAATGCATATTTTATTTTTAAAAATGAAAACAAACTTTTTTTTTCATTTTATACCAATCCCAGTTCCCACTCCCTCCCCTCCTCCCATTCCCTCCACCTACTCCTCCCACCAATCCCATTCACTCCTCAGAGAGGGTAAGGCATTTTGTTTTGGGGAAGGTCTAATGTCTTCCTACTATATCTAGGCTGAGCAAGGTATCCATCCAAAGACAATAGGTTTCCAAAAATCCAGTGAATCTTGGTGCCACAACCAGCGACCCTGCAGTATGCCTCAGCCATACATCTGTCACCAACATTCAGAGAGACTAGTTTGGCCTTATGCTGGTTCATTCCCTGTCTGGCTAGAGTTGGTGAGCTCCCATTAGCTCAGGTAAACTGCTTCAGTGGATATCCCCATCATAGTCTTGACGTCTTTGCTTATATTCTTACTCTTCCCACTCTTCAACTGACCTTGGGAGTTCAGCCTAGTGCTCCACTGTGGTTCTCTGACTCTGTTTCCATCAGTTGCTGGATGAAGGTTCTATGATAATGTTTAATCCCAGCACTCGGGAGGCAGAGGCAGGCGGATCTCTGTGAGTTCGAGGTCAGCCTGGTCTACAAGAGCTAGTTCCAGGACAGGAACCAAATGAGACGGAGAAACCCTGTCTCAAAAATCAAAAAAAAAAAAAAATAGTCATCAATCTGACTACAGGGCAAGGCCAGTTCGGGCATCCTTTCCTCTATTGCTTAGGGTCTTAGCTGTGGTCATCCTCGCGGAATCCTGGGAATTTCTCTAGTGCCAGGTTTCTTGCTAGCCCTATAATGACTCCCTCAATCAAATTATCTTCTCCCTTTCTTTCATCTCTATCTCAACTACCCTGTTTCCTCAAGTTCTCCCCTCTCGCCTTCTTCCCTGCTTTTCCCCTTCCACCCTCTCTTCTCCCCCCACCCTATGCTCACAATTTTCTCAGGTTATCTAGTCTATTTTCCCTTTCTAGGTGGATATATGTATATTTTCCTTAGGGTGCATCTTGTTACTTAGCTTTTCTAGGGTCAGGAACTATAGGCTCAGTATTCTTTGTTTACAGATAATTTTCACTTATGAGTGAGTACATACCATGTTCATCTTTCTGGGTCTGGGTTACTTCACTGAAGATATTTTTTTTCCTAATTCGATCTATTTGCATGCAAATTTCAAGATGTCATTTTTTTTTTTACCACTGACTAATGCCCCAATATTTAAATGTGCCACATTTTCTTTATCTATTCTTTGGCATCTAGGTTGTCTTTACGTTCTGGCTACTACAAATAAACAATACTGCTATGAACATAGTTGAAGAAATGCCCTTGTAGTATGATTATCTTTTTTTGGTACATGCCCAAGAGCAGTATTGCTTGGTCCTGGGGTATGGTGATTCCTAATTTTCTGAGAAACCGCCATACTGATTTTCAGAGTGGTTGTACAAGTTTGAATTACCACCAGCAATGGAGAAGTGGTCCCCTTACTCCACATCCTCTCCTAGCCTAAGTTATCATTGGTGCTTTCGATCTTAGCCATTTTGACTGGCACAAGGTGATATTTCTCTGATGGCTAAGGATGTTGAACTTTTCCTTAAGTATCTTTTGGTCATTTGAGATTCTTACGTTGAGAATTTTCTCTGTTTGCCTATGTACCCCATTTCTAAATTGGGTTATTTGGAATTTTGATATCTAATTTCTTGAGTTCTTAATATGTTTTGGAGATCAGTTCTCTGTGTGATGTGGGATTGGTAAAGATCTTTTCTCTTTCATTAGGGTGCCTTTTTTGTCTTATTGACTGTGTCCTATGAATTACAGAACCTTCTCTCTCTTAGAATGTCCCATTTATTAATTGTTGCTCTCAGTGTCTGTACTACTGCAGTTATATTCAGAAAGTGGTGTTCTTTACCAATGTGTTCAAGTATTCTTTACACTTTCTCTTCTGTGAGGTTCAGTGTGGTTGGTTTAATGTTGAGGTCTTTGATCCATTTGGACTTGAGTTTTGTACATGGCTATAAAGATGGATCATTTGCATTCTTCTACATGTGGATATCCAGTTATGCCAGCATCATTTTTTGAAGATGCTTTCTTTTTCTAATTTATATTTTTAGCTTATTTGTCAGAAATCAAGTGTTCATAGGTGTGTGGATTGATTTCCTGTTCTTCAATTTAATTCTATTCTTCCTCTTTTCTGTTTTTATGATAATACCAGGCTGTTTTCATTACTGTAGCTCTATAGTAGAGTTTCAAGTTTGGGATTGTGATGCCTCCAGAATTTTTTTTTTGTTGTACAGGATTTGTTTTGCTACCCTGGGTTTTTTTTTTCCATGTGAAGTTGATTATTGTTCTTTTGAGGTCTGGGAAGAATTTTGCTGGGTTTTTGATGGGCATTGCATTGAATCTGTAGCTTGCTTTTGGAAAGATTCTATTTTTTAAAACTACACTAATTCTACCTACTGAACAGCATGGGAGATCTTTCCATTTTCTGGTGTCTTCTTCACTTTCTTTCTTCAGAGTTTAAATGTTCTTGTCATATAAGTCTTTCACTTGCTTGGTTAGCATTACCCCAAAGTATTTTATGTTTTTTGCAGATACTGTAAAGGGTGATGTTTCTCTGATTTATTTTTAGTCCATTTATCATCTGTATAAGGGCTACTGATATTTTTCTGAGTTAATCTTGTATCCTGCTACATCACTGAAGGTGTTTTCAAGTTATAGAAGTTCTCTGGTAGAATTTTTGGGG